TCTTCTTTAATTCAGAGACATTTGTTGTGCGTGCGTATTTTTGTTACCTAATTGTATTTGTTGCTTAATTAAACAAATTGTTAGAATTGTTATTGACAGTTGAAGAAACGCAAGAGAATCTTCTTTAAATATGATAAAGCAGACTTTTTTTTTATTTCTAACTAATGCTGATTTCGAACACACTTGAATGCATTATAATTAAAAAGAGATAATTTTATTGTTGTAGTTAATTTTTATTTATTTATTAATCTATTAAAAAAAATTGCGTTGCAATCTTTTTGGAAAATTTTATAAACGTTGTTGAACAGCCGATCCAATTGTTTGAGTTTGCGACTGCTGATGTCCAACTTCGTAGCCTTGTAATTTTGAACCCGATTCAGAAGACAAGAGAACGCCTGTATCGAGCATTTTGGAGAAATTTGCTTTCGCGGACCACTTTTTTGATTGAACTAATCCGCATTTGCGTTACATGGAGAGGAGGATCACGAAAGCCTCCCGCGGTTAGTCTGACGGCAAGGGTAACCAATGATCCGTCAAAGAGGATATTTTACGTCAGCACCGTGGTAGGTGCAAGCCGGATACGGAAATCGTGTCGAGCAGTCATCGCTGGGAATCGAACCCGGCTCACCTCGTTGGAAGGCGAATGCTCTATCCCCTGAGCCACCGCGGCTCTTTTTGCAATATTGCCAAAAGGCTTAAATACTCCAAACAACGCTTTTATTTCGCATCGCATAAAAAAAAGAGATTATAAATATTTTAGGAAGGGCGCCAGTGGGAGATTTGCCATAGGCGCTTCCTTCCATAGATACGCCTCTGCTCCATCTGCTTCACTGTGTTATACATAATTTAACATCATATGGTAACTAGCAAAAAATTTCAACTCAAAAGAAGTATATCTGTAAGAAAAGAAGTACATTTTTTAAAACTTAATTCAAAGAACTACAAAGTCTTAAGAATCTTGTATTAAATTAACTTTCATCTTTTGATTTATATACCACACAATATGCATCTCTAATCAAATTTCTAAATGTTTTTCCGTGATCTAACTTTAAAAATATTTTTCAGGTGTTTTAGCTTGTTTAGATGGATATATGAATATTGCTCTGGAACAAACTGAAGAGTATGTTAATGGTCAACTTAAAAACAAATATGGAGATGCCTTTATTCGTGGAAATAATGGTAATTTCTTACTTTTTCATTTTTGTTTTTTTTAGAAGTTGGAATCATTCAAACTTTAAATTGACAAAAATACCATACCTTTGAGTTGCATTTAGCTAAGATATTAAATAAGGAAATGAAACTACCTTTAGAGTGTTTAATGTAAAAGTTTAACAATATTATAAATAATAAATTATGAATTTATAAACGAACTATGTACTACATGAATGGCTTGGTCCCATAAATTGTTAAGCCACATTTTCAAGTTGTTCAAGAGAGCATTTTTTGTAGTGTTTTGGTGATAAAAACGCATTTTTCATGTGGGCAGTTGGATATTTTTGTGTATTATGCTGTTAGCAAATAAAAGTTTGAAAAACTTGTAAAATACCTATCTAGAAACAATACTAAGGATGGTTTTGAACTAAAAAGATTATCTTTAAGAAAAATGTGTCAGTGTATTGCATACCGTTATATTATAAATAAAGCAAGATAATGTGAATAAAGGTAAAGAAATAGATATGCTATAGTTTTAAATTTTTAAACAAGAAGTTGGTTTCAATAAACAAGTACAAACAAACAATAAGAACTTTCCTCTGTGACACTGAGGAATATTCTTGTTTATCAAACCAAAACTATAGCAGGTCAATTGCTGTACCTTCATTTGATTTTCATACTTAGCTCAAAGTACATCTTATCTTGATTTGGTTACTATTATATTGTTTCAATTCCTCCATATGTACACTTTATTTACACACATGCTCTTTAGAAACACTTTAAAAATTTTGAGATAATTGCTTTTGTTGTAAACTCACCCTTCATAAGGCTGTGTATGAAGTATATCTGCCACTAACTTCATCAATTTTTGAATGTCAGTTGGAAGCTATTTCCCCACTTATGATTTTTGTGGCCATCTTCTAATAACTTCAGAAAATACGGAAAAAAAAATTATAATGGTTATAGCTTTTTTTTAACTAATGTGGCTAACAATAAAAGTTAATGTGGGGCTAAACGCACTACAAAGCTATTTTCTTTTGTGCATTATGCATTTGTTCATTTGATGATTGTCATTGAGTTTCTTTGTGTATTTATTTATGCAAAATTTATAAATATGATTTTTTATAAGCACAGAAATTCAAGTTTATGGCTATTTCTTTGCAGGAGGTAAATTTATGAGAAATCAACACTTACCTACTCATCACTTAAGAATCAAATTGATTTTAGTTAATAAGCTAAATAATTTTATTTTTATAAATCAATCCTAATCCTAAAAATATTTTATTGTAACATTGCTCGAAAAAAATGGCCATATAATCAGTTAACATATATATTTTATATAGATTTGGAAAGCAATAAAATGTTCTGATTTCCTCTAGATTACACTTTAAAATTAAACAGAAATTGCGAATTTTAACAGTTGTACATTTTATTGAACAGTGAACAGTTTTTCAGTTGGAAATTCTCTAAGAATTAATGTCACTTAGAATTATTCACTATATTTCTTTTTCTCTATGAAATTTATTTTTAAAATGTTTAAAAAAAAGTCACCAATTCTCCATTAATGAGAAAAAAATTCCCCTCTGAACAACTTTTTATCTCATGATCAGATTCTGGCATTCTAGGACTCAATTTTAATGGTTCAACGGAGTGACCTCTATTGTTCTAATTAAATACTGTTGACGATATTTTAAGTTACAGAACAAGACACAACATACTCAGAACAGAAACGTACTTTCTCTGAGTAAACATTAGGAAACATACTTTCTCTGAGTAAACATACCATTTTTTTGGACAGATTCTGATTTCTGATCCTCAAAATGCAAGGGGTAGCTACAATCAGGGAAATATAGTCTCTTAGTTTGGTCAAGAAAGCAGTCCAAAGTTTCAACCCCTTAATGTTAATTTTATTTCTTGCATATTTCGCCATATCTCAAAAACTTTTTAAGAAAATTGGAAAATGTTTGCACACAATTATAAAATCGTTCTTCTAAAGATAACTCCATATGAAAAATGACTCTTACTAAATATTTATTATGATGTGGAAAATAGTGAGAAAAGTTTTGAATTGAAGGGGATGCGATTTTCTACTTAATTTTAAAGAATGCAAATACAATATAGAAAATGTAAGCAAAATCCATTGAATAGTTCCTGAGAAATCAAATTTTTAAAATAAGAATTTTTCAAATTTCTTTTTTTCAAGAATAATTATTCAACGAATTTCACTCTTTTGTATTTTGCCATGTAAAGTTATATTCTTTAAAATGATGTAGAAAATTGTATACCTTACAATTTAAAATTTTTTTAGACTGTTATTAAGTAATAAAAAAAATAAATAAAATATTTACTGAAAGTTATTTTTTGCATCACATTTTAAAAGTTAATTATATTGGATAAACAAATTTTGTAATTGTGTGCAGAAAATTTTCAATTCACTCAAAATCTTGAAATGTAGAAAAATATGAAAAAAAATTTAGCAATTAAGAGTCCAAATTTTGGGCTGCTCTAATCAGGTCAATAGTTATTCAGGGTGTTTCTGTTTTTCTTTCTTTTTTTGCACACTTTTTATAAGGATAAATAATCTTTTTGCACACTTTTTATGAGGATAAGATAGTGCAATTATTGCTCTTTTTTAACCATTAAAATTGAGTCGTTGAACCTGAAGATCCGATCATCAGGCCTATAGTTATTCAGGGTGTTCTGTTTTTCTTTCTTTTTTTGCACACTTTTTATAAGGATAAATAATCTTTTTGCACATTTTTTATGAGGATAAAATAGTGCAATTATTGTGCTTAATTTTATTTTATGTTCAGTCACTAACATTTTTCATATCAGTCTCAAAGTAAATTTAAGCAAGGCCAGTCATAATAGATAGTCAAATTTAATAAGATTAAAATTGGGAAAAACTTTGTTGTTTTATTTTTAGACTTAGGTTTGAAATAATTTTGTAATAAATTTTAAAACTATGAAGTCAATTAAAATTATAAACATCCTCTCATTGAATTGTTTTGTAAATTTCTGTGTCAATGACTTCTTTTTTACAAAATCATTTGATTTAAACCAACAAAATCTGTAAAATATTTTAAATTATTTTATTTTGTTAATTGTATTAAAATTTTAATAATCAATTGTACTCATATGATAATTACTTTTGTTTTTATAGTTTTGTACATCAGCACTCAGAAGCGAAGGATATAGAATCAAGGCTTCACTGATAATTATGTAAACTTCATAATGTATTTACTTCATCATTAAACAAAATTCTTGTTTCCTGTGTAAAATAATTAATTGCACACTTAATTGCAGTTTTTCTTATAAACTAAATTTAACTGTACATTACTCTTAAGAGTTTTTCAAAGCTCTTTCTTCAAGGATTATAAAAGAAGCCATCAGTTATTTCAGAGCCTATTTGAATATAATTTTCAACAGTAATTATTAAAAAAGTTAAAACTAAAATTTTATTAGGAAAATTTAGACAAATGTACTCACTCAAATAAATATACCAGTTCAGAAATGCATTAGGGGCCATTTAAATATTACTTATTTTTACTGTCAAGGGGGGAAGAGAATTATGAGCATAAATATACGTTAGGCATAAAAATCCCCTTATTTTTCAAAATTTGCTTAAAATTCAGAATAAGAATATAACACTATAATAATAAAAGTTAGACATGGAAAAATTTCAAAATTTGAGAATAAAAGTTGAATTTAGGAAAAAAAAATTAGAAAAACAAGAGATCATTAAAAAATATTCTACTGAAAATTTTGTAAATTACAATGTAGATTTTTTCTTGCATCTTATATTTAATTTTTGTCCTAATATTAGATTGCTACTGTAAAAAGTTAAGCAGAAACCAGACTGGATGGTGTAGAAATATTGTTACTTATTTATTCTTATACAATCGGTTTGTGATTTGCTTAATTTTGCTAATAAGGGGGAGAATTAGTTCGAAATTGCTTAAAATATGCTGACAATAATATTGGAACGACCCCTGAACAGAAAGTTCATAATGCTTAAATGCCTCCAGAGACATATGATGTCCAACGACATATGATGTCATCATATCAATTGCAATCCTTGTGTCCTTCCCTTTAGACTCTGCACCATTACTTCTGGGATTCTATGTTGTTTCAAAATCCACCCCAACTTTTGATCACCAAACACAAAATTTATAGGGGAAAAAGGCAAAATTGGTTGATTTCGTACTGCTGTAAGAAACTATTTTATTCTTCAAAATATGCGTCATATTTTGCTCCCCCCCCCTATAAATAGCAAATTGTTCAGGCAAATGCGATAAAATCCTGAAAAAGTCAGTGAATTCTTGGAAATCTAATTTTACATCATTTTTAGAGTGGAGGTTAGGTCAAATAAGTTTGAATGATGATAAAATTGAAATTCCTTTAGTTTTGCTATGGTCATCTGTGCAATTTAATAACGCCATGCAATAAGACAGGAGACGATCTGTTAGTCAATTTAGCTTTTGAAAAGTTTCTGCATTCTTTTTTGTAGTTTAGTTAATTGCAGTTCATTTCTATTGTGATGGTTGAGCCAGGCTTCATAATATAATGAATCACACCTGCGCTAGAACACTAAACACTCACTATCAGTTTTTTTTAGTGAATAATACACTTTGCCTTGCATTTTGATAATTCATCGATGTTCATTCAATACTGAAATATGTAAGGGTTCAGCTAAAGAAAAAGTACAATAAAATAATTAGCCTATGTCAAATAGACGATATGTCTGATAGAGTTAATAAACGAATTTTACAAGTTTTTCCTTGATGATTTAATGCCTACTTTTAATTGCTTAATAATTATTTAAAATTAAATGTTTCAAGTTATTCATTTTTATTTTATTTTAACTAAGCTTTTAAAATTTACAATGAAACCCAAACTTTCACTATTGATTTTAATTATACTATTTTTTAAGTCTCATTCTTAGATTTCCATAAAAAAAAATATATATTTCTTTTAAAATGTTCATAAAAATTCCATTTTTATCACAAAATTTACACATGACGTCATTATTTTTAATGTAATAATAATTCTATTATCGATGTTTTAAATAATCTTATCAGAAAAGCAAATTATAAAAAAAGTTAAAAATATAAAAGAATAATAAAATACAATTTTTAATTTTCAGAAACTTAGAGATTCTTGATTCCTGCTGCCACTAGCCGGTTAAGAAAAGCTTAAACGTTCGGAAACTGGCTTCAGAAAGTTCAAGTGCAAAGCTTAAACCTGCTAGTGGAAACAGGGTACTAATCTGGTTTTATCATTCTGCTCATCCCATTATGGACTAAAACACAGGAATTTTATAAAATGTATTATTTTCAGTGAAATATACTTAAATTGTATTCATTAAGACACAAAAAAAAATTTTCGTGCCTGAAAAATACTTTTTTGAGAAATAAAATGGGCATCCCATTTACTTGAATGTTAGTTTTTTTATTAATATTTCTTTCATTTGCAGAACTTGCAACTTTAATTCAATGTTAAAACAAATGATTAATCTCAAGTGGAATAATTATGCAATTTCAAAAAATCTAATTTGTTAAAAACCATTTTAAATTGAAAAAAAAAGAAGAAAAAAGCTTATTTTGAAGAGTTCTTAACAGAAAGTATTTTCTATAATTGAATTACTAATATCTTTTAGATGTTTTCAGAACCCTTAAAAATAGCGGAAAAATAAAATTAGTGAAAAATATATTTATTAAAATGGTGCGTTTACGCATTTTTGACCAAAAATGGGTTAAAATGCGTCAATCTTTTAATTTTTAATTGTATGTTTCAAATCAGTTTTTATTTTAATAAAAAAGTTACAAAAGAATTACAGTCGGTACTGTGCTAAAATGTATTTTGCATTAAAATGAAAAGTTTGTTTTCAAAACATTTTAATTCAACACAAAATCATTTGTTTGTTCACTTAAGATTTAAACTGATTAGACTTTCTTGTCTGTTTTTGAACGACAGTGTCAGAACATATTGGAACAAGCTCCAAGTCAGTGAACTTAACCACTTTTTTTTTTTTTTTTTAAATCTTTTTCAATATAGGAAACTTGGGCATACATAATTTTTTTCTTCATTTTCCTACTTCCGTAAGTGGCCATTTTTACGAAAAAGTTGCCCTCCACCGCACTGAGTATTATTACCCAAATTAGTTTCTAATATCAGTCTCTGATAAAACAATTGAATATGTGGTCTAAAGAAGTAATTTTTTGAATGAAATCTTTCTAAAAATTTCGTTATTAATGCTTAATATGTTATTTTTAAGACATTTTTATAACACTGAGGAACAAATTTTTTGTTGCGTTTATGCAAATATACTTGATCTTGCCTGATTGAAGTGCGGAGATTTAAATCTCAAATTAGTTATGCACCTGAAGCAATTGATCTTTTTCTTAATGACATTTTTAGTCTTTTTTTTGTCGAAGCGTACAAGTTTATAAACGTTTTACATAACTGGGGTGTGCATGTGTTGCTGTAAACTTCCACGAGAATTATGGCACATCATAAGGATTAAAATTACATAGGAATCTATGCCCGGAAATGTCGCCATACGCCGCTTTGGGGGCTTCTTAGTTATGACCTATTCAGAAGCACGCCAAAACATAGTTCGTAATAGGGAAGCGGACTTAGCGGCGTAAGACTACATTTCCGGATATGGGTTGCTATGCAATTTCAATCCTTATGATATACCCAAACTCCGCTGGAAGTTAGTCGCAACATTTATGCGAACCTCTGCTTTACATAACGTTTTTAAACTTGTACATTTCGACTAAAAATGTGTTTTTAAAAAATCTATATAGCTTGGAGAGAGAAACTGATTGCAGATTCGAAATTAGCGAAACGAAGGTATCTAAGATCTGCTAAAAATATCATTCAGCCTAGAAAAATAAATTGTTCCACCTTGAAATCCGTCCTAACTAAGATTTGGAAGTTAAACCAGGTCTAAGACTATGCTAAAAGGATTTTGGTGTCCACGGTTGCCGTTTTAAAAGCACAGTTGCTCTTTTTCAACATTAGTAGAGTTGCTGAATACTAATTAAAATAAGTGCTTAGGCTAACTTCATTTAGTAAGGTTTCTGAGTACGAGCTTAAAGTTAGAAATAAGAAAAGGAACATTTTCTTACTTTTTACCCACTGATAATGCGTGATTTTTTTCATTTTGTGATGTAGCTAAGTTGATTGTTAACCAAGCTTATAACCAAAACATAAATATTTTCCTCAACTTAGTCCAAAAAAAAAAAAAACCCCTTCTAAAATTTGTTAGATTCCTTCCCTGTTCATGCTTAAAGAAAATAAAGTATTTCTTTTTACATGCTCTAGCAAAGCTGAATAAGATAATAACCTTTTGTATAACAGTTAAGCTATTGATCTAGTCCAGACTAAGCACTAGATTCAAAGATGTGCAAGCCAAAGGCTGAGCTATATTACTTGCGTATTACTATTCCATCAATTGCCGTAATATTGCGGTCGTTTATGGTAGCCAAGTAAATTAATTTCATTTAAATGGAACATGGATAATTTTATTTTAATGGTCTAGTTTAAGAAACACATTAAATAGTATTTCATTTTAACACGCAATGTTTTACCAACTGTGGCGTAAAGGAAAAGCAATTCAGGTAATACTATTTATTAATAAAACTGACTGTTCTTTGCATTATTTTATATTTTTAAATTAAAATTATGAAACATGAAACAGTGAAAAATATGTGCATATAGTGCAATATAAGCATATCGTGGGTAGACAACTTTTTAATTGCATAATTATGATGGTCTTACTCTATTGAAACTTTAAATTTATGTTGCTGGATAAACTGACGTATTTCAGAAAATTGATGTGAATAAACTTATGTTATGTTATACTAATTGCGGTGATCTTGGTCTAACCAAACTACGTATTTTTGTTACTAGATGAATTGGCTTATTTGAGGAAAATTTCGATGTTTTCATGCATACAAAGGATCATCGCAAAATGTCACTCAACAAATTTAATGATTTTAAAAGTACTGACGTAATATTCCGCCGACTAGTTTCGCCATCACCGCGCCATATTCATGTTAGAATCTTCCAAACTTATATCTTTTCATAGTATTTCATTATAGGGAAATTTACAAAATACAAAAAAGTTATCGGATGCAAAAAATTCGTACCCCAGTCTTCAGATCGGGGACTCAACCCTCGGTAGTAGGCGAAGACTCTACCCAGCACATCGACAGGGTGACCTAAAATGTTTGAAAATTTAGCCGGTGCGAATCGTTTTTCGTGACCCTTTCGAAAAAAGTAGGTTGAGGAGACGATTTTTTAAAACTTGTACATTGAAATGTAGTACACTACTCCTTTATAGAATAAAGAAGATATTGAACGTGAGATTTAAAAGAAAAATCGAAATTTGAATTTCAGGTATGTAAGAAAGAAATACGATTTTGTTAAAGGTGAAACCATATATTGTCTTGTAATAAGCTGCGGGTAAAGTAGAAAAGTGCATCATCTAGTAAATTCTATCTACACTCATGTTTATAAGTTGCGGATAATTCAGAGTCACACTGAAATTGAACTCTAAAATAAAATATTTCACTTGTAGAATTATCGCACATATCTTTAAGAATAATATGCAAATAACAGGAAGTCAACAGTTTACGACTATAGTATACGTCATAACGATGAGAGTGTGAGAGAGGGGTGCACAAGAAGTGGTGGCAGAATTTGTGTTTATGGATCAAAATATTCGTCATTTTACCGAGAAAACATCGTTAACAAATACTTTCAATCTGAGAATATCTTCCTATGGAATGGCCAGCATTCTCATCTGACTTGAATCCAAAAGAGCATATGTGGGACATGCTTTGGCGACGAGCCTGTTAGCTGTCTCCAACACGTAAAATGTAACTTTAGAGAGCATTGCTTTCTGAAAGGGTGATCTTCCCACGCTCAGCTCTACAATTTAATACTCAGCATGCTTACTCGTTGTGCGGACTGTATTTCCTCGCATGGAAGACATGCAATGGATTAACCATGATACCAACTATGTAAGTTTTTGTAAAGAAGATATTTTTTATTATTGCTTCAGAGTGCAAGAATTGCAGACTTTATGAATGGTATCATGTATACACCATCCTTTTTGTTCCTTATTTTTTGTTTAATATATGAGCTTTATGACTATATCACGTTTGTTTTGTTTCTGAATCTTTATTTGCCGAAGTTGGCATTATTCTTAATTTAGTGACATGAGTGTAGTATTTCTCAACTGTGATTGAAAATTTTATCAACTAGGCTTCAACTGAAAAGGAACTTGATGAAGAAAGTTTCTCAGAATCGTAAGTTTTTTTTCCACTTATGTCACATATTCAATAAGTTTTCAGTATCTGTTCTGTTAACACTACACGTATCAATTTAAAATCATAATCTAAGAGTTAGTTATAGAAGAGAGTAAGAGATAGTTATAAAAGTTACCCATGTTTATATCGACATAGAGCATGTACTGGTTAAGTATCTATGAAACTTGATATCTAGGCACTTTATAAAAGGCGGAAGCGTTAATCATCGCTAATTTTTGCATTACATTGATATTTCTGCTAAATGCATGAAATTCATTGTATACTTTTATATTTACATAAAATTAACACTATAGCTTTTGTCATTGGATTTCAGACCATCAGATTATCTTAAATAATAAATTAGTGCGAAAAATGTATTGGCTTTTCGTACAGTACATTATTTGGACAATTCTATATTACAAGTGGAAGAAAATAGCATTTATTTTGCAGAAATATTTCAGACAAAACTCAAGAAAATAGTAAAATATTTGTTGGAAGAATACGTTTATATTATTTACTTAATCTATTTTTTGTCAAAATAATAGCGTGGTTTGTAATGTTGTGTTTCCGGACATGTATCATGTGATTTAATTGGATACACGTAAGTGACGTCACGCGTGTATGGCAAACCTGAACTTCCACAACAACTTCCACGATTTGATAACGAAGTCACCTGCAGGTAACCAATGGGATACCTGCAAGTGATGTAGTGTGGGCATCTCGATCCTGATTGGTTGTTAAAATGTGGTATTAACTGTTCTTTCCATTCTATTTCGAGTAAGGCAAGCCCATAAATTCTCTTAAGTGACACATTTTGTATTCTTTCACTTTACATTTACACAGAGATTTAACACAAAAGCAGGCATAACGCCCATGTAGAACATAAACTAATCATGCATTGAAGTTGTCAAGTATACAAAACAAAAATATATCACGGTTGCAACAAAATACATAAATAATTAATCTAAGTTAAGTAAAAGATGTAGACGAGAAAGTATTACATTTAACATATTCGATACGGCGCTGCATTTAATTAACTTCTCGTTTGTTAATATTCTAACTTATGTGGAGAAATTTAGCTCAACTTTAACACGTCATTTTGCTTATAAACGATCAGCTAGATCTAACGTCATTGGTCACATGTGCTGGTATCTGTGATCTTCTTCTTGAAGTGCAAGTACCCAAGTATCAATTTACTGTGAATTAAATTAAAATTTAATTGTTGTCTGAGCTTTAAGTTCCAATCAGTGTTATGTTTACAACCTTTTTAAGAGCTCCCCATGTGTATTAGATGTGCCATGGAAATGAAAGACGCAATGAAAAAAAAATCAGTTCAAATTTTATCCAGTAGAAAAAGGTTCTTATAAAAACAACCATTATTTAAACGTAATTCTTCCTGGCTTTCATTTTTGTCAAACGCATGTTCAAAAAGCGTTATAGTGAGTACGAATTAAACATGAATACATAGGTTCTCCATTTATTGCAGCAAAATGAGCGAAAAAAATGCGCAAAAAAAAAAAATCACTTTAAATAATTTTTGTTCTAGAGATAGGATTTTCCCAGACAAAAAATGGTTCAAAAGGATGATTTTAATCATGCTCTTTAACAAGTTAATGGCTATTAATTAAGCTTTGAAACAAAACGTACGAACAAACGTACTTTCTTTTAGCAAACATATTTTTACCCACGGATTTGGAATCTTAGACCTTAAACCAGGGATGGGCAAACTTTTTTGGTCGAGGGCCAAAAATCGAGAAAAAAAATGTTTGGTGGGACAAATAAAACTTTCAAAATTTTTTTTAAAAAAAGCGATATACAAGTTTTAATTTAAATATTTAGTGAGATGAATGAAATTGCGATTTCGTTTTTAAAAGTTCCTTATATTAAGGTTCGAAGCGAGATGTGCCTATTTTACGGAACAAGGCTAAATGCTTTTCTGTTAGTCCACTTCTGAAATGATTCTTTCTAAGGTTCAAAGTTGAAAACTCTTGTTCACATATATAAGATTAAGCAAACATAGAGCTGATTTTCTGGGCATGAAATATTAAATTTTGGAAACTAGCTTTTGGTAATGATTTGTAAAACTTTGGCATATTTAGAAACAACTGCTTCAGATGATTGTTAGATTGTCCGCTCGTTGGATCTTAAAATGCGTAGTCTGCCAAATGTGAAGTACAATTTACCTACATTAGATTCCTCGAGAAAGACAAACGCTAGTTAGAGCCAATCTAAGACTATTCTATGAAGAACTTCTACTTTCAACATTTTACCAATTGAAGCTGTCTGTGCTAACTATTTCCATCAATTTATGTTTTGTAGAACAAAAATAGAGAAAGTAAAAAGGTCATCCGTACTTTGTTAAAAAAGGAAAAACAGAAATAATTTTAAATAGTTGACAAGAAAATGGATGTATATTGTTTATGTATATTGCCACTGATCGGCAAATTAAAATTATATCCGCGGGCCGGATAAAACCTTCCGGCAGGCCACAGTTGGCCCGCGGGCCGTAGTTTGCCCATCCCTGCCTTAAACCATGGGGTGTAGTTGCATGCTGGAAAATATGGCACCAATAGTTTTCATAGTTGAACTGTCTAGTGCATGGATTAATTAATAGAAATTTCACTTTCTGATCATTTAGCGATTTTTAAAAGGAATCAAAATATTTTTGCACTCAATTATAAAATTTATTTATCCAAACATAATTCCATTTCTAAATAGTTTTATAATTCTTTTTATTTTATCTAATCAGGGAAGGAAAAATATCAAATTATTAGGTATACAACTTTTTACACGAAATTAAATTACATAATTTTAAATGCCAAAATACAAATTTTTAGCGCAATTGGTTGAATTGTGTCGTGAATTTAAAATTTGATTTCTCAAGAACTATTCGAGCGATTAGTTTAAATTTTATATTTTGCCACACAACGTATGTATACAAAGTTTCATCGACCCACACCCACCGGAACAGACGCTACATTAGAATAAAGATGTTTAATTTAATGTTTTTTGGAGGAGATAGAATTTTTAAAACAATGTTTTCAGGGAGGAAGAGATGATTAATGGTAAAAAAATGTGTGCCAAGCTGTTTGTAAAGATATATAAAGCAGACGGCCTACTTAAAAGGGATGAATGCTTATGGGCTCAAGTGAGGAGGAGATTTTTAGATCCAGAAGAAGTAGTCGATCCATATGTTGAAGTCACTTTCAATGGCTTAAAAGTATTATTTCTTATTTAAATCTCATATTTATTCATTATAACTTCCGAGGAATAAATTAAACTATTTAGGCTGTTTTTCGAATGCTCTGTCGTCGCATGTATGTGTGTAGTTCACATAACTGTTGCGAGTTTTCAACAGTTATTCATGACTGTTATGTCAAGTTCAGCTTATTTTTATGTAGCATCCTCGATACCGATTCTGGCACAAAACATCAACGGGAAAAAGGCCACAGTTTTGGGAAAATAAAAAGCGTTAGTGATATAATTTTTTCAATATTTAAAATTTTTTTTTCAACACTGTATTATCTGGTCTCATGCAAATTTTAAAAAGTTGCATTAATTTTTATAATCTCAGTCGAAGTGAAAAAAAGGACGCCAAGTTGGTGATCTTTTTTTAAAAAAAAGTTTAATGATTTTTAAAAGAATTCGTCCGTTCTGAAGTTCGATAATTTTTCACGGCAAAATAGTGCACACAGTTTAAATTAATAGGTTTGTCTCAGGTGCAAAGCATTATACTGTGACTTTTTTACATTTTCCTTGGTGAAAAGCTTCGAAAAACACTTCTAAAGTTTTTTGTTACTATCACGGTTTAACGGAGTGTAATTCAAAAGCAATATGATTTCAGTATTTTTAAGAACAATTTTATTTTATTTTATAACCGTCGTTGAACAGCCGACCCAATTTCATGGGTTTACGACTATTAACGTTCAACTCCGTAGCCTTGTAATTTTGAACCATTCCAGAAGACAAGGAAACTTCTGGATCAGTACCCCCAGAGGTATTGATTTGTTGTGGGAACATGGAGGACTTTGAGACTCGACAGATTTAACGTGCATCAGTCACCATTTACTACACGGGGAGTCTTCGGCCGGCGAGGATCGAACCCACGACCTCTTGGATATGGGCCCAGCGCCCTACCGACCAGGCTATCCCGGCCCTTTTAAGAACAATTGTATTTTTGACGCACACTATGACGATACACTATAAAGAAGTTCAACTCATTGTATTTTAATCTAATATATCATTCGATTTTATTGCTAAGTATTTTATCGTTTAGTATCGTGAGGTAGACAATATTTATTAAGCTCTTCACTGCTGAAATAGAATAACTGGTGAATAACTGGTAATAACTTTGGTAGAATAACTGGCAGCTGTCTGTCCATCCGATGAACCATAAAGTTTACGGTAAAGAACAATTTTTTCCTTCATGACTTTCAAACCATTTACAAAAAGTATGGTTATAAAGCCATGAATACAAACTATACGGTTTTTTCAACCATTTACTACTAGCATTTTTCAAAAACGTAAAAAAAAAAAGTATTATTTCACTACACATATGATCTCGGCTTTTCGTAAGGTAATGGGAATTAGAGAGTGCCGGATACTGGAAATTCTTCAGGAGTTGAAGGGAATGGAGGAAATATTGTGGCTTCAACACTAGGACTCGAACTCCAGTTCTGCTGGTCATGAGATTGACAGATAAGCAAACTCTTCTATGATATGTACGCAGTTGCAAAGATATAAGTAGCTTCATTAGGTGGTTCTAGTTGGTGCGATTAAATTCTGGTTGTTTAACTGTATTAGGTGAAAGCAGTTAATAAACAGTTTGTTTACCATTTAATTTATGGCTATTTGATTGTTTTGATTAAATAGGGCAAAATAACCATTCAACAAATTGTTATTGAACCATTTTTTCCGAGAAATTTCTAACAGTGTTAAGTATTGTCCACATGTTGTTAAAAGATCATGGTTAAAATTAGATGCAAATTTAGCATAGTATTTTTGATTTAATCATATTACAGTGAAAAATTGATCTTTTCTTAGACATGATTTGAGCACCAAAGTATAAAAATCAGATATTCTATAAAATATATAGGTAACATGAAAATTATGTGTCATCCATTAAAGTGCCAAAAATTTGTTTTCAATCTCTCAAATTACCTCAAACTACCTAGACAATCTGCACATTACCTACTAGACGCATGTTAAAGTGAAAATTAGATCTTTGCTAGGACAAAGGCAACGTTTTTGCATGTTTAAATTAACATAATGCTATTTGTTTATTTTTCTTTTACTAAAAAATCAAGTTATTGCAATCAACACATAAGGATAAATCATTAACCTTTAAAACCTATAATGCTCCATAACTTTAAAAACTATAATACAAAAAATCAAATGGCTTAAAATATTATTACCATTAAGGAAATTAAAATACAGAAATTTATTTATTTTTTAGTATCTAAAAATTTCAAGTTAATAAATACAATCAAGCAATCAACAAGTTAGTTGACAGAATGAAAGAAGTAAACTTTTGAACCTTTAATGCGCACATTATCTAGGTAAATTGTGGAAAACACTTGATTCTGCGCTTTAACGGATCACCATAACTAATCTACAGATTAGCTTTGTAATGAATATATTAAAGGCTTTCGAACTTTAGAGGACAAAATTACACTACTGGGGTTTAACTTGTAATTGTGGTTTACTTTTAATTTAATTTAACTCAACCTTATGGTTCAACCTTAAACCAATATTTCTGAGTTTTTTTCTTTTTTCGCTAGGGTTCAACGTCTAAAAGGAAGAAAACAACATCCCCGGCGTGGAAAGAACAAATAGTGTTTAGCATGGATTTTCCTTTTCCTTTAGATGACTTAATTGTGCATGTACGAGACGATGAAATTGTCGGTGACAGGGTCATTGGTTCGATGACTATTCCTCTCGATAAGATATCGAATCCAAGAGATAATGGTTCGTTTTAATATTATATTACAGTCGCACCTCCTGTAAGAGATACCTCTGATTCAGAAACACACTCTATTTACGAAACAATTCTACTGGTCCTGGTGTCGGATAGGGCTTTTAATGCAGTTACTTCTTAATAAGGGTCACTCTATTTAGGGGACACTGGAAAGATTTTTTTTTTTACTTTTACCGTGAAGGTACTTTCAGCCTGCCAAAACTTTCTACCTTTTCAGTTGTATGTCTACTCTCAACCAGCTAAAGCTGTTTTTTACTTTTCCTGTCGTATGTCTACCCTCAGTCTGCAGAAGCTTTTTTGTCGTTTAATTCGTATGCCTACTCTCATCCACCACAGAAAGAACCATACTTATACATTGAAAAATACTGTTCCTTTGAATACTGCTCCTTCAAAGGCCTACTGCTCCGTTAGACCTTTGAAGGTATCGAAAACTAATAATATTTTGCAAGTGTAAAGGCGTTTTTCTTCAATAAATTTTATTTTTCATCAATACTCTTCACATTAAGTACATCCATCAAAAATGAACTACGATCAGTATGAAAGCTATAAACTTAATAAAACCGCAACATCAAACTCACAAATTAGGCAAATTTTATCGACAATGAAACTGCAACGCTTAAAGACGTCTTTTCTCCAGCTGTTTTCCTGAAGCAAAATAAGCTTTCCCTTTTCTCCTTGTTCTTCAACGAGAAATTCTTGTATTGAGGATAATTTTCCTTAAAAAATTGAATTCTTTTCAATCTGATTATCAGATCAAAGGTTACTTAAATGTTTCGTCTCTTATTTTGTGCACGGTGCTTTTCAATTATATTCTGTTGAATTTTTTTTTTTAGGTTTCCTACCAACGTTTGGCCCGTGTTATGTACATCTGCACGATTTGACTGCAAAGGAAGATTTAGGCGCTCACTATCGTGGCAGACTTCTCATGGCTATTAACTCAGAAATATTTTCTTATAGAGAATATTCTGAACCATCTGTATCAGTGGAACTTACTGATCCCCTGCCAGAAGTATGTTTGTTCCAATAATTGACCATATAAAAATAAAAGAATAATGGGTCAGCATGAATGATTTATTAAATTTAAAAGTCAATAGTTATCAGATATGAAATCAGTTATTAAATTAAGAAATATACAATGTATAAAGACAGTTGATACACCAGAAGATACATAAATTCACTTAGTGTCTGGTTTATACTATAAATATTTAATTATGTGGATCTTTTGTCACCTAGCACACACCCCAATAGTGATCCAGTACCATTTCAATTAATAAAAGGTCTGTAGGTTCAATAACATCAGTCAGTGAAGTGATGCGTGTACCTTTAATGACAACAATAATTTCAATGTCAACATAGCATTATTATGCGTAACTGACTCTGTGACGGGACATTAATTGAAGTATGTATCTATCTTAATTGTCAATAGCACTGCATGTACGTGTCACTGCTGCTCTGATGGACATTGAATGAAACAAGTATCAACCGCTCAATTCCAACAACAATTTCAATGCAAACAACACTGCATATAATACGACACTGTTGCTGATTGAGATGCATGCTGTGATGATTGAAATGCATGTACCCTCAATACAAAAAACAACTTCATTTCTGACAGCATAGCATTTAGGCACCACTGCTGCTGCGACGGACATTGATTGAAACATGCGTGTATCCTCTGCCATTAGCAATTTAAATGCCAACACCACTGCATGTACCTGTCACTGCTGCTGTGACGGATATCGAGTGAAACATACAGGTCTTCAATGCCAACAACAGTTTCAATAAGAACATTGAACATACGCATCACTGCTGCTGTGACGGGCAGTGATTACATAATTCATTCGACATTTTCAATCCCGATAACAGAGCATTTATGTTTCACTTGTGCAGCTACTGACATTGACTGAAGCATGATTGTACCCTCAATGCCAATTTTTTAGTCATTTTAAAGTAAGTAATTTCATATGGCAAAATACAAAATTTTAGCGAAATCGGTTGAATAGTTCCTAAGAAATGAAATTTTTAAAAAGGCGTATAGTTAAAATTCGTTTTTTTCAGGAATTATTAAGTCTATTCAGCACAAAATTGTATTTTGCTATGTAAAATTACATACTTTAAAATTGTGTTAAAAAGTGCAAACTTCACAATTTAAAATTTTCCGACTATTATTTTATCTTATAACCGTCTTTGAGCAGCCGACCCAATTTTGAGTTTACGCCTACTAATGTTCAACTCCGTGGTTTACTAATGTTTAACTCCATATTAACTAATTTTGAACTCAATCCAGAAGACAAGGGAACTCCTGGATCAAGTATTGGGAGAAATTTGCCTTCGTTGGGGGGACTTTGTGATGGAACTAATTTGCGGTGCATGAAGAAGAAAACCACGGAAACCTCCCATGGTTAGCCTGACGTCAAGGGAACTCTAAATCATGATCCATCTACCATTGAAGATATTTTGACTGTTATTAAATAAAATAATAAAAATTAAATAAATTATAAAAAAAATGCAAAATGGAAAATTACCATTGAAGGTTCCAAAATTTCGACGACTCCTCAGCCTAAACTAACGAGACTATATTTTCCTGATTAAGGATAAAATAGCAATATTTTAGTTCTTAAGCAATAGTTAAAGGGTCAGAAATCCAAATCAGTTGGGAAAAAGGTATATTTTTCGGAAAGAAATACGCTTTCGAATCTAATTTTGCAATTTAAATTATCGTCTGCACAGTCTATTTAAAGCTAGGTTCTCGAATCATTAAGTTGAGTCTTTATGCGTAAAAATTCTATCATTAGGTCAAAAGTTAATCAGGGTGCTCACTTTTACGTACCATTTTTTCCCCTTTGGAAAAAGACGGTGGATGCTTTCCAGTTGAAGAAAAAGAGGAAATATAAAGATATGAAGATTGGTTGGGGGTTTCAGGTACAAGTAACAAAACGCTTTACTCTAAAAAGCGCCAAAAAAAAAGATAGTACTACCTCCTCTTAGTACTTAGTCACATGGTTCAAAAGTAAAAAGTTACAGACTGAGGAAAGGGAAAAAATAAGAGATTTCAAAAGGTATTATTTTAAGCGGGAATTTTATTCCAAGCAGTACCAGTTTGGAAGATCTCCATTACCTTTAGTTTTATTTATGTTCCATCACTTCAGGGTAGTTTTGGCTACGAGTCTGAATTTTTCCTGGCTGCTTGCATTCATGAAGCTACAATGATCAACAAAAAGGCTGTAATTAACAAAGATATTCGATTTACCCTCCAGTTAGGTAAGTATAAATTCGCCTTAGTTGTGCAGTTGTTGTAAATCTCCGGCTGTCATAGGACCAATACTCGAGAATATTTTATTTTATAATCAGCGTTGAACAGCCCACTAAATTTTGAGTTTACGGCTAGCAATGGTCAACTCTGTAGTTTTATAATTTTGATTCAAACCAGAAGACTAGATATTTCCTGGATCAAACATTGGAACAACTTCGTCTTTTCATTAGGATGCTAGAGATCTATTCCATGAACCACCGGTGCTCCTGTGAATGTTTGGTACATGTAAAATCGGGCTAAATATGAATGCGTCCAAAAATGAGTGGACTGTTCAACACTGGTTACAAAGCCTAGCATTATTTGAGATGACATGTAAAAAAATAATGATATTGAAGCCATTTGACCATTTTGCCTAGATAGGGATTATTTTGAACAAGATAGTACTAGTAGAAGCTTTGTTTTGAATTTAAGGTACATGAACTGTAATTATTTTTCTTTTTGTCAAAACCGCTTCAAAGAATTCCTTTAAAAAATCACTAATTTAGCAAAGTTTTTCCTCGTAGGTAAAAATTGTGACTATAAACGAACAATTCTCAATTTATTATTATTTTTTTGAAAGAACTGCATAATAGAATTATTTTTTAGTTACTAAAATTCAAATAAGAAATACATTTCATTTGAAAATACTATGAATTTTCTTAAGGTTGAAATTTTGTGCCATTTTGATTGATTTTTTTCTTTTTTTGAATTTTTGTGTCAGACTTGCACTTGCTAGAGATGAATCAAGCGTAGCCTCTTGTGAATAACTGTTACGAACTCATAACCAGTTTTATATATAGCACGTTATTCGCTAAACGCGTTATTTCATAAAACGGAAACAAAACCTTCGAAAAGTAGACTTAAGTGGACGCTATAACGGGGGAGATACTTTTCATGGCAAATTCTCTTTTAACTACTTTAGCAATTTAAAATTAAGTATAAAAAAAGATAAATCAGATAAACCCAGAGTAAACAACGAAGTTTCACATGCTATGCATTACGTTTTTCAAAATATTTAAATGCATGCAAATTATGTCTTTTATTATTCAAGTTTACACAGTGAGGAATTCTGGCATTATTTGCTTCCGATACTTTGAAGAAAAAAAAGATATTTTTTCAGCATTTAAAAATTCATAATTTACATTGAGTCTACTTTAACTCACTCTTTTGTATTTTTAATGCATAACTTAAAAGCCATTAGCATATTTGAATAATAAAAGAATTATATTAAAAAAAAAGAGACAGAAGGTATTTATTGATATTAATTTCTAACCCTTAACACGTTGCATTTGAGTCCTTTTATTGTGTGTTTCAGGAAACTATGGCAGGAACGTATGTGATGTAGGAGAAATTGCTAGTCACTGCTGTGATTCTCAAAAACCGATGTCCATCGACAAGTATATTAAATACAATCTGCTTTTCTCTTTTTTTTCCAGCTGGCATTAAAACGATATACAGAGTGTCCCTAAATTTGTGAAAAAGTTGTCAATATTTTGTGTTAGAAATATTGCGCCAATTGTGAAATATCAGCAAAAAAAGGACATAGTTTCAGTTGAAAGTTCAGGTTTGAGGCAGCCCACAAATGTCATGTTTGGAGGTGAGGGAGGGGTTTCTTTAAAATGTGACAGTTTCAGACAAGGGAGAGGGAAGGGTTCTATATTTTGGTTAAAATGAAAATATTTAAATCACCAAATAATTTTTTTTTACATAATTTCTTACATTCACCCTCATATTTTTCATCAAAATAAATACACATCTATATTGTTATGCTCACAAATTTAAATAAAAAAACGTAGCTCAAGTTTAAAAATAAAATGTAAGTATTATCTAGAACATGTAAATAAAAGTATTATCTGGAACATGTGTTTTATTTCTGAGCTGCTAGAATATGTTTATAGGATATTGAGCGACATGCGGTGAAGTGTGACATTTGGTGAAAAGGGGATGAGGAGGTGGTCAAAAATATTGGGGAAAAAATGTGACATCATTCAAGGAAGGCCTCTTAATGTATATGTTACCGTTATAGTGTATAATTCAGTTATTTAATAGAATAATTCTAGAAGTATTCTATGAATTAACTAGACAAGTCAGTTAAAGTGTATAATAGGTGAAAGATGTTTACTTTACGTAGTTATTCTATGAAATGACTAATGATAGACCATTAAAGTGAAAAATAAGCAATTTCAAAGTTATTTCATGAATTAATTGATCATAAATAACTAAAATGCCTAGAATACCTTCTTTTTTCTCATTTTTTTTCTCTCAGAGGGTGTACTAACATAAATACACCGTCCAAATTCAACGTCTAAAAGCAACGTAATGAAGCGTACACACGTCATTGCAACACACGTCATTGCAACACACGTCATTGCAAAGCAGCACTAAGCGGTTCAAAACTTACTAAAAGCAGGTAGAACCGGTTTAAAGTACTTTCGAGTGCCATATTTCGTATTTTAACAATCAAGTAATCATTATTTCATTATTCTAAGGTACACCTAGTTAAATTGTAGAATTACATAATTTTATATACTTTAATTGTTTAATGTCTAGTTATTTCGTTAAATACCAAGTAATTCTATGAAATAACGGATTTCACACTTTAACAGTAACATATACATTGAAATGAACAACATACTAAAAAAGTTTCAATAATTTGCATCACTTGTATAACTCATTTGTTTGTAAATGGGACTAGTGAATTAATACCTCTTAATCATAAATTCCTTTTTAACAACGGCACATTAAGAGCTGTCATTGGAAAATACTTTGAACCCATCACTTCAAAACGTCAGCATGCATTCAACGTAAAAGAGATAAGTCACGTGATCCTCGATTCATTAATCGAATTCGTAAAGGATAGTTTAATAAAACTTAACATGCGATAATTGCATATTTCTGCTTAAGCGTAATTTTATTTTGACAGGAAATACATGTATTTGCCATTTGACGTTTGTAAGCCATTCCTTTCTATGGAAATAACCTGGCCTGACAACAGCAGAAGATTGTATGCGTCCAACATTCTTCTCAAGATTGTGCAGCGAATAGTAAGTAATCACTTTTCTGATACATTTTCTGATACTTATTTACTCACTTACTTACTTTACTTACTTACTTACTTACTCATTCATTTACTTACTCACTTACTTACTTACTCACTCACTCACTTACTTACTTACTCACTCACTCACTCACTTACTTACTCACTTACTTACTTACTTACTCACTATAATAATTCGCACATAATATATCTATCTATCTATCTATAATAATTCGCACATAATATATCCATCTATCCATCTATAATAATTCGCACATAATATATCTATCTATAATAATTCGCTTATTTACTTACTTACATATGGCAGCATCATGATAAGCTATCATTTTCATTATCATGTAGGTTATTTAAAAATGAACTTGTACAAACAACGAACCAAAATAAATAAATAAAAACTTTCTCTAAATTAAAGATTCCGTTTCCTGATAACCTTTTGCTCACGGCTGGTACAACTGATGGTCCAGAATAGGTGTTATCATGCACCGTAGGCAAAATATTAAAAAGAACTTTTGTGCATTTCTTAGAAATAATTATCATGAGAAGAGCAGAAATACTCGAAAGTGTTTATCTTCCCCTCTTTATCGCGAGATTATGACATAATTGGGGGTCGTCTAACATTTCCCTCAAAATAATTCTTACTGCAAAAAAGTAAGCATTTAAGATATTGGACGGATTTGTTGCTCTTCTACAATATTAAAATGCTAAAATAAGGCATCGTGATTTAACTTCATTGTTGCCTGCATCATGGCTTCGATCTGTTATGATATGCACACAATAATTGTTTATCGTTATCTCATATTTATTCAGGAGAGAATTTTTAGTGAAAAAAATCACGATTTCTAGGTGGGCAGAATGATATTTCTGTATTCTGCACTGTCAACTAATTTTAATTCCAGAAATTTATGAACCATCGATCTAAAAACAATACCACATGACAATTTGATGTAAAAATGTTATTTTGGGGGGAAAGTTTAGATTATCATCACTATATTGACCCATACTCTAGGGGTAGAAACTGGTCATACTAGTAATATCTTTTAGGCCAGTGACTAAAAGATATTACTAATCCGTTTACTTGTCTTTATTAGAATTTTTGTTAAAATGAAGTTTATTTAAATGAAAAAGTACAATATTAAAAATCTTTAATGCTCTCAATTATAAAGAAACATGTTATTTTGTGGCAATAACACAGATCAAAGAAGAAAACTCATAGCTGCCAACTCTTCCGGTTTTCCCGGAAGATTTTATTTTCATATTTAAAGTGCTAGCGAAATTCATGTTATTTCACTAAACTTTTTGAATTATAATAATAATTTTAAATCAGTTTGACCACCACTACATATAAATAATTACAACAAATATATAAAAGCATATTATTCCTTATGATAGCGAATATCAACCTGATTAAAATCTAAATATATTTTTGAGGAAGATAGTTTTTCGATAATTGTTTTACTACCACTTGGAAAATTCATTCTCGAAAATAGTGAATGTTGGCAGATATGGAAAACTGAAGAAAAAAAAATCTAATCATCATACTATGTATTAACATCGATTGCTGCATTGTTGGTCCACTGAACAACTGTTAATTGTTTGATAGTGGTCCAACTCAAATGTTAGTGGCCTTTAATATTATTAATTTTGAACGTCGCAAGCTCTTTATTTTATTATCAAAGGTTTACTGTTAATTTTCTTGTGTTCTATAGAACTTAAAAGTTTTTCACCTCCTCTTCTCACTTCACTAAAGTCGAAAGATAAAATGGTTTTTGATGCCTTTTATTCTATATTAATTGAAATAATCCTCGTTAATGATTCGTCAGATTTTGATATTATTTTTTCTTTCTTATTTGAATATTAATTTGCAACCACTTTGGCGTAAGTTGTTAGTTTTCAATCTTTGAGAAGGATTCTTAAAATGCATAAAAGAAGGTGTGGTTATTTTAGATATATTTACTGTATATTATTATTAATTTTTTAAATTCTAATTCTTAAGTAATATTCCCCGCAGACAGAATTAACAGAAAATGCAAAAGCTGATCAAAGGAGTCTTGATCTGAATGATTTGGCAGAAATGACTAAGTGAGTATTGAGATTCATCTAAACTTACAAAATATTACAAAAAAAAAAATGCGATAACATGGTAGTATTTATTTAAAAAAGTTTGAACATACACTCCTTTATTATTTTCATTTCTATTTTCTAATTTGATAACTTAAATATGAAATGTTTCCAATAATTCTACGTCTAGACATTGTGAAACGTTTTTGAAAATGAAATTTTTAGGAAATAAATAAAAGAATTGGAAAAATTGAAGATTTAGGATTTACCTCGATGCAAAATAAGCTTTTATTGTCGATTTAAAATACAGTACAAATTCTAACAATGACATTGAAAATCATAGCGAAAAGGTGATGCACTTTACTAAATACAAGTGATACTACAGCGTAATAGAAAAATCAACGTAAGTGAGGAAAAACTCAAAATTGTGATTTTTATATATTTTTACATTTTTCTATAATAAGCTACATATTGCAATTTTTTCTTATAAAAAAAATTACTTTATCAATTTTTGGAAATTTTATTTTAGTGTTCATAGTATTAGCAAGGGAACGAAAATAGTTGTTAAGCCACTTTCTCGAAATCTATCGGGAAGCATTTAGGTTTGTTTTCTGAAATTCATGGCAGAATGCAGGTTGATTGAAGTTAAATTGACGGTATTAAAAGATTACTGACTCTGGACCTACAGAAAGGATTCGAAGGAAACTTCAAATGTTATGTAGACCATGCGGTTGAGATTTCCGTGAGGAAAAAGATTTTGTCAGTGTAGAGCGTTATACCACTAAAAGCATATACAAATATGTATTAAAAATAATGAGTTAGCATGGTTACTAGATCCGAACCCTCCTCACTGGGGTTTTTCTTGAAGATCGCGAAAATCAAGGACGTATAAGGAAATATTCGTTTGCCATGATATAACTGTACATACGTATGGAAATATTGTATGCTGTATTCGACAACTTCTTTCCTCTGAATTGAATGAATCAAAACGCACGTCTGGCAGCCCGTATTCTTCTATGGGAAAGTGATTTCCAAACAGAAATTTCATCGGCCACAGGAACATTTGGAGAAGATTCAACTTTTGGAGCAAGGACATGCGTATTGTTGCAAAATAGCACTCGCCTCCAAGCAGTGAATTGCACATTAAAAAAAAAACTCTCTGCCCAAGTACCATTGTGAGGTATTTTACAATCTCCCCTATATACCCGATGCTGATCTCTTCAACTCCCACCTATTCTTGCACATGAAGAAATACTTGTCAAGGCATGAATTTCCCACAGATGACGACACTCAGGTTGCATAAACACATTGGCTCCATTTTCAGACGCCAGGCTTCTATGATACAAGTCTATAAAAATTATCCCCGGGTATAGTAAGAGCTGCAATTCTGGTGGCTCTTATATTGTGAATTAGCTGCCCTATCTATTCCAGACCACCATGTTTCGTTTCTTTTTATTTGTTAAGATAAACTCAAACTTACTTACTAGATGCTCTTCATATCAGTTACATTCGATCTTCGAATGTTCTTCAATCATTTTTCTACCACCTTCCTTTTTTGGGAAGTGCCTTCAGTTTAATGTTTATTTCCTTTTCATAGTCTATACCAGTGGTTTTCAAACTTTTTTCAGTCTTAGAAATTGGAATTGCGTCCCGTAGCATTAAACTTCGTCTCGCAGCTATGCATTGTATTGAGTAAGTTGAACGACATAATAGCATTAATAATGGAAGGCTACTTCGCCTGCAGAAACTCTAAATATCGCTGTCTAATTTTTATTTTCGGACAAATTTTTCATCAATGACAGTACAAAGATATATGAAAAAGAAGCCAAAGCAAATACTGCTTATATTCAAAAGCATAGAATATAGTTTTTACTACATACACTATAGTGAAAGACAACGTGAATACTGCCCAAATTAAGCACAACGGACATGGTATATAGTTTCGGTTCACTAGACAAAAGACTTCCTCAGTGTCTGAACACCACATGACATTAAGAAAGTAAAGAAATAAACACGTGCAAAGTAGTTTAACCAAAATGTTTTCCTCCTTTTTGATTGGTTAAATCACTTTGAACGTGATTCACAATAGTTCTAGAGAAATCGAATTTCAAAGAAGTCGCATTTTTAAAACTTGATTTCTCAGAAACTATTCAACCAGTTTGACTCAATTTTTGTATTTTGCCATGCAAAATGACGTAAAAATTGTATACCTTACAAGTCAAAATTTTCTCGACTATTTATTAATGAAATAATAAATATTTACTAAAACTAATTGTTTACTTGTAATTATCTTTGAATAAACGAGTTCTATAATTGTGTGCAAAATTTTTTCAATTCGCTTAAAAAATTCTCGAGGTATGGCGAAATACGCTAAAAGTAAAATTAACAATAAGGGGTTCAAACTTTGGATCGCTCTTCTGAGCTAACTATGGGGACCATATTTCCCAGATTGCGGCTCTTCCTAATATTTTGAGGGTCAGAAATCCGAATCCAGCTAAAAAAGGTATGTTTATTCGGTGAAAGTGCGTTTTTGTGCCTGAATTCGTAACTTAAATTGTCGTCTTCACTACTTAATTGACATATTTAAGGTCAAGCCCTCGAACCATTAGCAATGGGTCCTAGAACTTAAAGATTCGATCATTAGATTTAAATTATTCATGGTGGTACCTTTTTTTTGCGCACTGCACATATGCACAATGTCTGTATGTCCAAGGCTTGTGTGCATACGTGCAATCTAAATATGCACCACAATGCAATACAGTACAATATACACAACACAATCATCAAATTTCAACTGTAGCAGCTCTAAGCAATATCTTTCAACGCATGTGCTGATTGTTTGATATTAGTAACTTGATTTCTTTTTATATCGACAAATAAATAACGGTATGTTAATTTAAGCGTTAAGAAAAAATGTCGTTTTTCCTGCAAAGATACTATTTTTACTTGAACGAGTACCTAAGTATAGCTCGTTCACCAGGAGTTGACACTTGGCTCCGCCTTCATCACGTGGTATGCGACGATACTATTTCGCTATTTTTGGGAGAAGGTTGTGAGCGATCCTGAACAAGGTTGCTATTTGGCGATCATATGGCAAAAACATTTATTTCCCAAACTTTATCTGCATTTTTTAACATTAAATATTTCATAAATTTGATGATATTTCTTTCTTTTGATTGAATAGTATGTCCTTTTTGAGACACATTTTCTGGGAAAACAGCAGTTTTTAAATATAAAATATATTTAATTAGATAGAGAAACGAAAGGTATAATAGCAGATGATAAAGCGAAGTAAGTGACTGAAAAAGAATTCACTGTTTGTGTTTGGCGCGCATTAAGGGTTGTCTCAATTTCAATCGCGGAGATGTTTCTCTTCTTACTCCGCGCTGAAATGCACTCTGCGTCCGAGTAGGTGGAGCCAAGTGCCAACTCCTGGTGCATGAACTATAGGTAATGTGTAGAAGGAAATTTGGAGATCAGCAAGGGAATACCAGAAACGAAACAATTTTTGTAATTTTAATGAATCTCCCTAGTTAATTTGTACCTTAACTAGATTATCTGTTTAATAACAAATTTCTACACTTTAGCCCTAATATATGTGGTTTTATGTCGTTCTAATTTTAGAGATTGTTTAAAAATTTTGAAGGAGTACGAAGAGATGTATTCAGCTACTACAGAATTGGATAAAGAACGATTTCGAACTTATGAAAGTGATATTGTAGTAAGTACTCATATTTTCCTACTTTTTATTGAAAAAAGTATTTAATGCTTACGTTTGCTGGCAATGTTTTCATTCACCCATTGTCTGAAATATGATTATATCAAAACTGGAATAGATTCTGATCATTTTCTAAAACTTTTCATTCCTAAGAGCTATTCAACTATTCCCACTTATGTTGTGCACTATATACGAGTAGAATACATATGAAATAAAAAAAAATTACACGGTTGCCATCTTATACAGTATTTTTAAATGGATATATTAAACATAGGTAAGAAGGCTAGAATCGACTATGCTGCGCTTAACAAAAACGATATTTTACATAGCTCAAACAGATAATACGAAGCAATTAAAAAGGAGCCCCGAAAAAAACAAACAAACATGGAAGATCAGTGGGATACCAGAGAGGCAACACATGTATTGCCGAATAATTTAAGCATATATTTTAGTTACTTATTTATTTATTTTAAGCTTCTAAGTTTCCATATAATTTTAACAGCACTAAACCTAATGAGTATTACTTAACCAAATTTTCGGGTAGCACCAGTTTTTCAAACTGATCTAAAATGTAGGCTCCATGCAATTGCTGCTTCCACGGCGATTTAATTTAAGAATGTTTGAAAAAAAAGTTTTGTTTATTTCTATAGGAATCCTTCAAGTATATTTGTGGGACATCTTCAAGTGAGGAGACACCGGAAGGGATTATGAATGAGTTGGATCTTTTAAAAGAAAAGCTTAAATTATTGGCAGAAAATGTAAGTCACTTTCTATTATTTTATTAATGATTTATATTGTAAGAAGTTCAAAAGAAAAATATTGTAAATTAAAAAAAAAAATTTTTTTTTTCGCTTTTACCAAAAGTATCAATTTTTTAAAAATTGAACAAACGTTTTTTTTTTTTTTTTTTTTAACAAAGCTGCACAATTTTTTTTTCTTTTGAGTTGCGTGATTATATATTTTGCATTTTATTTTATCAGGTGCTTTTCTTCTTTTGAGTTACTTTAAGGAAGCGATTTTTATCTGATTTTGTAATTTAAGTAATAACTTGTACCCTGATAGCAAAATATTCGGAGTGAATTTGCAGTCAACGCAATCTGCATGATCTCAACTCAGTCAGACAGATTATTATTGTAAAAATTCAGCTTTATCAGCATTCAATAAAATTTGAAAACCTAAGATCCTTAAAAATCATACATAAGAAATTTAAGATGTTTAAACTTACGCTGAATTTTATGCAATGATTTAAAAGAAATAAAATGGAAAAAATTCAAGTACGGAAAAGCCTGTAATCAATTAACAGAAAAAAAAATTCTTGGCATTTTGTTTGTGACGGTATTCTCTTCATTCAGCCCTTTTTCACTTTTATTAGAAGCAAGTTTAAAGATGTTCTTTTTCAAAATAAAGTCTTACGAGGGTTGCTATTTATATTTCTGGCCTAATAATGAAAAAACAAATATGTAGGATCGAAATTGGTTTTATTGTTTTTCAAAATATTCTCCATGATGATCAATACACTTTTGCATGCGTTTGAACCAATTTTCAAAGCACTTTTTCCAGTCCGATTGAGGTAACTCCAAAACATGCGTTTTGAATGCATCAACCGCTTCTTCGGGGGTCGAAAATCGTTGTCCACGTAATTTATTTTTGATGTGTGGGAATAAGAAGAAGTCATTGGGTGCCAAATCAGGGCTGTACGGCGGATGACCCATCAGTTCGATCTTTCGCTCCGTCAGAAATGCCTTTGTTTGAGTCGATGTGTGAGAGCTCGCATTATCATGATGAAGAATGATTCGCCTGTTCTGCTTTTTTCGAATTTCTCTGATGACTTCTGGCAAACAAATGGTCGTGTACCATTCAGAATTGACCGTCCTGCTTTGCTCTAACGCCACTGTTGCCACATGACCGTTAATGCCGCAGAAACAGGCAATCATTTGTTTCGATGTGCTTCTTCCTCGAACAACTTTTGTTGGTTTTGCCTCGTCTTGGAAGACCCATACAGTTGATTGCCAATTTGTTTCCTGCTCATATGCATAGATCCATGATTCGTCACCTGTGTAGATGTTATACACAGCCTTTGATGTACCTTGAACGTATTTTTCCAACATTTCCTTGCACCAATCGACACGAGCCTTTTTTTGAGCGTTTGTCAGATTATGCGGGATCCAACGCGAAAAAAATCTTTTTACGCTCAAATGTTCATGCAATATTTTATTGATGCTAGTCATACTAATGTCCAAAGACGCCTCTATCTCACGGTATGTCACATGACGATCTTGCTTTATCAGTTCACGCACAGCATTGATCTTTTCTGGCACAACAACGGATTTTGGACGACCTGCACGGGATTCGTTCTGAATCGAACATCGACCACGATTAAATTCGTTATACCAATTTTTTACAGTGCTGTAGGATGGCGCTTTATTGCTGAATAAAGAATTAAGTTTATCGAAGCACTCTTGTCTTGACAATCACGTCGAAAGTTATGAAAAATAATGGCACGAAAATGTTCACCATTCAATTCCATTTTTTGAAAGAGAAGAACTTTTCAATTTACTGTCAACAACACAAATGAAGCTATAATGGTAAATCGTCCGCTGAATTTATGTTTAAAAATATCAAACTTTCGATTAAAATCGTCTGCGGTCGCCTAGCAACACTTACTGTTGCCAAGGCCAGAAATATAAATAGCAACCCTCGTAATAACTTTCCAACTTTTGTTTTCTTTTTATAATTAAAAACTATTAGGATAAATAATCTGCAGATGTTGTAATAATCTTCAGCGCCCGCTGCCGTGCTAGAGGGCTTCTGCTACAGCGGTTATCACTAACACAACAATAATTTGGCTTAAGTAGAAATAACTGGCTTATGTGCAACTCATTCAAATTTTTAAATAGTCTGAATAATGCACTTATCAGTTATAGGGGCTAAGTTGGCGACTGCTTTTCGAGTTGTCGCCAAAACAAACATAACTTCTATATGCCGATAAGTATGAATTTGAGTATTGTGGTGTATCTTCAAAAGTAACCGATAATTATCAATTCACCGATCTATTTTCACATTGACTAATATATTCGTTACTAATAATAATAATTCGTAATACTAATAATTCGCTTCTAATAATAAAGTTTTTTTTAATCAAAACTTACTATAATATTGTATTCAATAAAATTTGTTTTGTATAATATTCGAGAAATTATCTTTTTGAAAATTTAAATATTCGATAATGATCGCTATATTGTCATATTCAATATGCCTTGTTATCTTTAATGATCGTGAAATCATCGTAGTTGATATGCTTATGCGTTATTATTGGTAACTGGTTATCTATGTAAACCAGAATCTGGCGTTTTTCCTGTTAGCAAACTTGGCTTCATGGTCCCAACCTGTTCAAGTACTCTGTATAGTTATTTGTAGGACAAGATACGAAGGTTTTACTTCTGGGAAACAATGATATGCGTCGCGATTGCATAGTTGAAGATTTAAGCAATTGGTCTCAATACCTTTCCTGTTATTGGCTTACGAGGGACTTCTCTGAGTAGAGAGATATCTTTCCTTTTGCAAGTTCGTATCCCACAGTGAACCTATCGTACAGACACGGTTCTCAGTCGATCACTGAAGTCAAGCGCCTCTGGCTGTGGTCAGTGAGCTGGTGGGTGACTACTTTAATCAGTCTATGATGGGACCATCGGACCTCCTTAANAAATCTAATAAGCTAAAGTTGTTATAAAATTATGAATAAAAAGTTACAAGATGGATAAGTTATGAAATTAATGAAGCATAGAATGAAAGGATAAATATATATAGCAAAATATATGATAAAATTAATTAGGAAACAATTAAAACGAAGGTGAGTAATTTCAGATATATACAAATAATAGTGATAGAAGCAAGAAAAATGGAAAATATCGGAATTTTCCCTGACAAATTTAAGAAACATTAAAAAAAGTTAAGCAGCCACAACTTTAAGTTTTAATAAATATGATTTGATGTTATAAAAAATAAATTAACTATACGAAAATAGTAGTGAATATGTCATAGATTTGTTTCTTTATGTCATGGCTTTACTAAAAATATTTTTTCTCCTTGTTTTCATAATAGCACGCATTTTACAGAAAATATTTGAACAAATTTAATGAAAATATTTTCAAATTTTTTTAAGGACTCTCTTATGAAGAAAATATTGTCAATCAAAAGTTGTTCAGTATAAAATATATGCAATTTTTTTAAGATATTGTAAGCATTTTGAAGAATACATATTTTTTCCAAAATAGAAACAATTGAAAACACATCGTAAAAATGAAGGAAATAAAAATAATTATTTTTCAAACTGCGTAAATTTTTTTTAATACTTTTATCTTCAAAAATATGTGCACTTAATAATGCGATGATTTATATAGGGGATTATTTTTTTAAACTTTGTTTATTAATTAAGATATTCAAAAGAAATTGAATATTCTGAAGATATAAATATTTTATTACTCCAGATTAATTTGCAAGAATAGTTTCTATTTGAAATTTTTTTTAACCGCAATATGTATGTAATTAACTGAAATAATTGTGTGTATGTAGCTTTTTCTTTATAGAAGGACGAAGTATTTTGATCTCGTTATTTGAATTTTCTAGTCTTAAACGAGGATAAAATTTTAACTTAATTCAACAAGCAACTTTTAAAAATATCCATGAGTGCGAAGATTCGCTTATGACTTTTGCGAGTGCTGTATTGCGGCGAGCGTAGGGTTGCCTCTGAGTGAGGGTTACTAGATAAGGCGGTGAAACAGTTGACTAATAAAACCGCGGCGAGTGGAGGTGCCCGGGAGCTTTCCGGATTTTGTGCAAAATCACAAGGATACGGAGTTGAACAATAGTAGTCACAAACCCAAAAAATTGATTTAGCTGTTCAACGACAATTATAAGATAAAAAAAAATTAAATGACTAAGCAGAAATAGAAAAAGTTTTTGCTTTTTCGCATTTAAATGTTAAACTGTACTCTTAGATATGAAGGACTTTCATCTTCACTTTTTATTGGCCTTCTAAACGGAATTTATACATATCTATGATCACTCTATCCCTTGACCTTCACGCGGTCCCCAGGGCATTGACCCCTGTTCGAATCCTGGTGACAGCTGGTCAGACGCATAATGCTCCCCGATCGCACAAACCTCGGTACTAGTATAAAATAATAGTAGAGGGAACATGGATCCAAATTCTCTCGCCGTCTGGTTAATCAGGAAAGGTTTTTAGGCTTTTTTTGTTTCCATATAAGGGGACGAGGGCAAGTTCCATCTAAAAGTTCGCTTGTCTTCTTGGTTGCGTTCAAAATTACAAAGCTACCGAGTTGACCATTGCAATTCACCAACTCGAAATGAATGGAATGTTCAACACCGATTATAAATTAAAATAAAATAAAACGTTCTAAACTTCTAACTAAATGACGGTTACTACGGCGTATCTTGTATTAATCTTATTATTGATTATTACTTATTAGTTTCTTATTAGTTAGTTCAATTTGTTCAATAGTAATCTCATTACTATGTACACTGCACCAAAGAGTTATAGTTATTTTTCTGTGTCTTTATGTTTGAATTTTTGATCAAATCTTCTATTTGGTGAATTGTATTATTTATGTAGCCACAAGTGATGTTTCCAGACATTGTGTTATGGATGGAATGCAATTCGAAACGAATTGGTTATGTTACTGTACCTGCCAATGAAATTTTGTTTGCTGTCAGAGACCATGAAAGAGGGCAAAGTTGTGGGAAAAGGCAGACTTTTTTCTTGTCCGTAAGTAAATTTGCTAAAAGTGATAATTTCTTCCTTTCTAAAGGATATCATTTAAAAATTTGAAACCAAAGACGTATAAACTTAATTTTAAAACCTAAAACACTAAAACTAATTTTTTACGAAATCTTTTATCCAAAATTAAAATGGGGAAAAATTGTGGGATATGAAATAAAAACAAATACTGTTCTAACTTATGTCCTTAAATATAAATCTCTGTTAAAAATCTAAAAGTATACTATATATATATATATATA